ACTAGCACGTCAGCGAGGACGCTGCACGCTCCATCCACGTTGGCGGATGAGCTCAGTGCTCAGCCCGTTGAGTCCCGCAGGCTGCTATCTTCCTAACTTAAGGGGGAGGGAAGCCTCTCCGCTTCTCTGCATTCTCTATGTCCAATCATTCTCACAACCGTGTGGTCGCTCCTACCACGTAATTTCTTGTTCAAAATAGGTTAAAGTTAATTTGAATAGAAATCTGAGTGTAGAAAGTCAAATTTCTACCCAGAAAGCAATATTTCATGGCACATAAAACTCCTATTAATAGGAGGGCTAGTTCAGGAAGTAGGTAGAAGTGGAAATAAAGAAGTAGGAATGCTGTCCTTTCAATGTATTTAGGCAAAATCAAATGTGTGTGTGTGTGTGTGTGTGTGTGTGTGTGTGTGTGTGTGTGTTACAAAACTCTGTTCCCAGTGGACATTCCAGATAATGGCGACTAAGGCAAGCTCAGAAATACTCAGGATTGAAGCTCCAAAAAGATGTCTTTATTTCATTTCATTTTTGCCCATCTCTTCAACTCTAGTTAAGTATTCCATCTATCGTTATATCGTTAGTCTATCCCTAACTTTCATTCATTCAACTAATACTGCTAAAGTTCCTTTCATTTTCCACCATTATGCCAAGTACTGCAGACACAAATGTGAATTAGACCTGATCCTCAACTTAATGGTTTAGTGGTGTTTCAAGAAAAGAGAAATTTAAAGAATTATGGTGACTTAAAGCATTTCCTGGAATAAAAAAGTAATAATAAGACACTGGGTCTACTTTGGTAGATAAGTACCATCTTCTCATTTTGCCTTATTGAAACCACGACTCCAAGTCCAAATACACCTGTGTATGCATAACCTTAGATGTTTACGCTGCTAAATTTTAAACTGGTCCTTAAGTGGAGGGCTTTTGCAATTCATCTTTCTTGGGTTTGTTTCCGAGGTATTTCTTAATACTAATGCACTCATCAGATGATTTAAGCAACCCCCCCACCCCCAATTTTGAGAGTCAAAGGGCATATCTGATAATAAGTACAGGGTATAGGCCATGCTGGTTTGGCTCAGTGGATAGAGCATCAGCCCCACAGATTGAAGGATTATGGGTTCAATTCTGGTCAAGGGCACTTTTTTTGCAGGCTCGTCATGCAGGAGGCAACCAATCAAGGTGTCTCTCTCACATCTTTGTTTCTCTCTCTCTTCTCTCCCTCTCTCTTCCACTCTCTCAACAACAACAAGGAAATCAATGGAAAAATATACTCGGGTGAGGATTAATAAATACAGGGTCCAGGGTCCCAGACATTTTTATTCTCTCTAGTTTTGATGGCTTTTTTTGGCCTTGTTTGAAGAGGTGTATTAAATATTATATAGAATTTGTGTATAACAAACAGCATTGCAAAGCTGAGTTGTGACATTTTCTATTTTGTTGGTTCATTTGACTAAAGAGCATTTTACAATTTAATGTCTGGGTTCCTCACTTCAAACAATTGGTATTTGAAACTGAGATGCCTAAAGTAAGACAAAAGTTCACAATGGTTTACCATAACAGTTATTTAATATTTATCCTTTTACTTTTATTTTCTAGTTATGAACTCAAAGTTTTGACCATAATAATTCTAACCTGTAATCTGGATACTTGATGAAAACTGAGTAGATTAACATAGAGCAATATGTAGCCCATGAGCTTGAAATCAAGTTATCTTATGTATAATAAATATTTCAATTTCATTTATTCTTTCATTCAACAAACATTTACTGAGAGCCTTTTAAGAGACTGGCGTAGTTCTAGATGTGAATCACACAAATAAAATGTATTGCCCTAGGGAGCTTACATTCATTTAATCAAACATTCCAAATAACCAGTTTTGAGAATGGACTCCACTTTTATGGAAGAAGGGAGACAAGAGACAAGAATCCCAAATCTTTTATTTATTTATTTATTTTTTATTGATTTTGTACAGAGAGGAAGGGAGAGAGATAGAGAGTTAGAAACATTGATGAGAGAGTCATCGATCAGCTGCCTCTTGCACACCCCCTACTGGGGATATGCCCGCAACCAAGGTACATGCCCTTGACCGGAATCGAACCTGGGACCCTTCAGTCCCCAAGCCGACGCTCTATCCATTGAGCCAAACCAGTCTCGGCAAGAATCCCAAATCTTTTGAAAGTTGGAGCACAGAGGAGCCCCAGGGCCATTGGTTTTCCAATCAAGGGGCACTGTAGTGGAGCTTATTACTTTCTGGGCCTTGGTTTCTTACCTGTTAAATAATGGCATTGAATTTCGTAACCTCAAAAGTCTCTTATGAATTGAATAGTCTATGAGTTATGATACGTAATATGCATTGACTTATTAATTAATTAAGACAAATTTACATAGAGTGGAATGCACAGGTCACTCTATTTTAAATAGAGATTTAACTTTTAAAACTATAGAAATGTTCAGGAGTCATCTTAAACTCCTATACCTTTTGTAGCTACAATATAGTATAGAATTATATATTATGTTCAGATTAATGATCCCAAGGCATTGCAGAATGCTGACTAGGTGAGAGAAGATCTAATTATGTTCATTAGAGTACTTATTAAAGCAAGAAAATGCACTGAGGTGATTTAGAGAGATTTCAAACACTAAGTGTCTTCTCATTAACCCACAGTTAATCAGAAACCCAATTAACCAGTGAGCTCTACTCTAAGATTTTACTGTTTTTAGGCTTATGTATTCTTTTTTACAACCAAGTCACAGATCCACATCCCAGCCATTTCACGTTTATATTACTAAAGTCCATGCATTATCTATCCCTCAAACAATATAAAATGCTTCCATCAAAACCCTCACTTCAGAGACAGAAAAGCAATTATTTAAGTAAGAAATAGATACAAGTAAAGTGATAAAATTTTGAGTTTTATTTGAAAAAATAAAGGGTCTAAAGCCCAGGATAAGGTAGATAAATTTAAGGGAAAGGTATCCCAAAGAAAAGAGATTTAAAAGTGCAGATATCCAAGACAGAGCAGATACTTGAGGAAAGGACCTTTGCATATTGAAAACTTCTTTTGTTTGTTTTTTAATCTTCACCTGAGGATATTTTTTTCATTCTTTTATTTTTAAGAGAGAGAATGGAAGGGAGGGAAGGAGGACAAAGGGAGAAAGAGAAAATGGAAGGGAGGGAAGGAGGGATGAAGAAAGCGAGAGTGGGAGAGAGGGAAAGAGAGGGAGAGAGAGATTGAACCTACAAGCTAGTATGTGCCCTTAACCAGGAATCAAATCCACCACCCTTTTGTGTATGGGGCCCACATTCTAACCAGCTAGGGCCAGACTGAAGACTTTTAAAGGGGTAGGTGTTCAGGAGAAAAGGACATTTTAAGGAGACGACAGCTAAGCTTAGAAGACATTTAAAGAGTTATAAACTGAAGTTTGAGAACAGTTTTATTAAAGAGGCAGGGATAAAGGAGTCAGTAGTCAATGATCTGGTTAGGAAAACCCTGAAAGGATCATCCTCAAAGGAAGAACATGCACTCCTGCCTACCCCATTATAAAAAATTTTTAAAAATAGATGTAAGTGAAATAATACAATTCTGAGTTTTGCTTTAAAATATTACAGATGGAAAAAAATAAAATAAAATATTACAGATGGTATTTTATTGAGTATATGGGCAATTAAAAGCAACTGGAAAAAAGAAATTAAAACATCTATTTCCAAATAAGCTCTCATTTGGGCAAGTCTTAATCCTTTCTAGATTATATCCATAAGCATTAAAATATACTAAATAAGGGGCTCTGGAAAATGTGCCCCACTGAGGAGACTGAGTGTCGGGAATGTTAGGCGATGCTCTTTTATCCACGGTCCCTAAGAAGCCAAAGTAGAATTCTTTGAAATCTTTGTGGACACTTAAACTGGCTCAACACTACAGAATAATAAAAAAATATTTAAAACTTTAAATTTTAGGTATTCAATTTTTTATTCTAGCATCCAGGAAGGATTTTAAGCTTGGCCTATTGTATTAAATCTGTAGACTCATTCACCAACCTGAACTCATTGCAAAATTACAAATTTCTTTCACAGGATAGCCTTATAGCATTTATTTTTGTCTTCAATCAGCAAGAACATTTTTAGTTCTTCCTACACTTACCACGATATCTCCTCAGAAGTTATTATCCTCAATAATATTTCCATGTTTTGAAAAAAAACTAGAATTTTATTTCCTCTATTCCCATTGCCTTCAATTAGACTTTCTTTTCCATTTCCACTTTTGCAATCTCTTCCTTTCATTGGTCAGTTAAGTCAGTCTTTCAGAAACATTTTTTTAAAATCCCTTTCTGTTTTTCTCTCTCCTAGTTCTCCTTTTAATACACCTTTCCTCATTATTCAACCTGTCCACGTAACCATTTGTACTGAGCAACTAGTGCATGCCCAACCACATGGGAGGTGAGTCTACAAGGGAAGTAAGAGATCCAGGCATGGAGCCTGCAGTCAAAGGGCTTACTGCCCAGTGGGAGAGAGAGCAAACACAATTGAACAAACAAAACCATGACATTAAACCATGTGATCTTGGCAACAAGTATAACCCCATTTCAGGGGAAAACCAAGTAGCTTGCAGAGAAACAAAACCATACCATCTTCTGCCAGGAAACTGAATGCAAATCTGCAGAGTTGTACATCCTTCTAGGTGATCGCTAGAAGGCCTATTTTGAAGTATGCATGCAACTATTGGAAAACAAGAAGAGAATACAACCAAGCAGACTAGTGGATTTATGTGAATTTTAAGATATTCTCTTTATAACTGTGCTAATTTAGCTCAATCCCTAAATATGATTAGACCATTGAAAAAATGTCCAGGTACAAATAACAAAAAGTGTGTGTGTATGTGTGTGTGTGTGTGTGTGTGTGTGTGTGTGTGAGAGAGAGAGAGAGAGAGAGAGAGAGAGAGAGAGAGAGAGAGAGAGAGAAACAGTGACGCTTAGCCAGGTGGGACTTAATCAAAAGATACATGGTTATACTTGGCAGGGGAGATATACCATGATCAGGAAGGTGATTTTCCCAGGGTGAAGCGTACACATTACCCTCCAGGTATGCTGACTCCTGCAATTTCCTCAAATGTGGGAAAATCAACTGCATAATTTTGGTGGTGGTGACTGTATTCATGTTCTCCCCCAATTAAAAAAAAAAGTATGCATAATCAGAACAACACTATAGTGACCCAACCTGCTCCACCAACATAAGCCTCTGTGTCATTGGGTAGAAATATCACCAGACAAGAGGCCGGATCTATTAATTAATGCCTGACTCATGTGTACCCTCTGAATAAAATAAAACTTTTAAAGACATAAGTGAAGCAGATACTACCCCACATAAACATGTCTTTATAAAATCACACTTTGACTTGGGGGACCACCTATATATTCTTTACCCTGATCCAGACTGTCTCAGAGATTGACTTAACTTCCACAGAAGGCTTGTGCCTGCTTGGCCTCTTTCTCCATTTATTCTAGTTTTACAACATGTTGGTTTTTGATTTCTGATCTGGCAAGGATGTTCCACCCCATGCCTTCTCCCAGGAGATGTTTGCTAAGATCATACAGGCAGGAAAGGGAAAAAAAAAAAAAAGGTCCTTGTTTTAAAAATGCAGGGAAATGGTTCCCTCTTCAGGAAAAAGTGGAAACTGCAGCGCCCGTGATGTATTGGGACAGTGTCCTGTACTTTTTCTAGCACTATATTGTTTCTCTCCACAATGTGGCGCAGCTGTTCTAAGTGTCGTTTACTAGAACAGCCAGTTGAGCATGAAAAAGACAACGTGACAGCAAGGAGAGATATGCAGGGTAGGGGCACAAAAGAATTAGGAGCAAGGAGAGGTTAAAGAAGAAAGCAGGCTCTTCTGGCCAGATTGGGCTTCCTTACCAACCCAAACCAGACCCATTGCAATTAGGAACGTTACCCCACCCCAAGAGTTTCATTTGGGATCATTTAATTCAATAGTTCCCAAACCTGGTTACCTACAAAATCACCAAGGAAACTGTTTTAAAGATACAGATGTATATAGAGTCTATCCCAAGAAACTAATTCAAAAATTTGAAAGGGGCCTAGTCATTTGTCTTTTTTCAAAAGCTCTCCTGTGCCTGGCCGGTGCTCAGTGGTTGCGTGTCAACTCATAAACCAGGAGGTCACCCCTGGATTCTGGGCTGGGACACATGAGCATATGCCTGGGTTGCAGACTCAATCCCCAGTTAGGAGGAGTGCAGCGAACAGCCAATCAACGATTCTCTCTCATCATTGGTGTTTCTATCTCTGCCTTCCTCTCGCTGAAATCAATTAAAAAAAACCAAAACTCTTTTTTGTTTGTTTGTTTTTATATATTTTATTGATTTTTTACAGAAAGGAAGAGAGAGGAATAGAGAGTTAGAAACATTGACGAGAGAGAATCATCGATCAGCTGCCTCTTGCACACCCCCCACTGGGGACGTGCCTGCAACCAAGGTGCATGCCCCTGACTGGAATGGAACCTGGGACCCTTTAGCCCGCAGACTGACGCTCTATCCACTGAGCCAAACCAGTTTCGGCAAAACTCTTTTGTTTTTAAAGCTCTCCCGAAAACCACTGGTGAATCTTTTATAGATTATTGGAAGGGGAAAAATGTTTTAAAGGGACTGAGTCCCAGCAGGATTCAGCAAACTCAGCCTCCATTTCTCAATTCAACAACAACAAATGTAGTGAGAATCTATTCTTTGTCAGTGAGTTCTCTAGGAAATGAAAGCACAATTTATTGAGTAAGTTCCATCTAAGGAGCTTACTAATCACACCTATGTTCAGTGTTTTCTCCTATTCATTTGGGCAAAGAACTTATGACTCCATAAATTCATAATTCCCTAGTCCAGACCTCACTGTCTCCCTTCTATGTACTTATCAACAACCCAGTTAGGGAAAGAAAAAAAAAAAAAAATATATATATATATATATATATATATATATATAAGCCCATTTCATGAATTCATGCATGGGTGGGGTCTGGCCAGCCTGGCCAAGGGGAGGGGACATGGGTAGTTGGCTGGCCTGCCTGTTGGTCAAACTCCTAGTCGAAGGGACAATTTGCATATTAGCCTTTTATTATATAGGATATACACCAAGCGGCCAGATTATTATGCGTTCAGAGATCATAATAATCTGGCCTCTCAGTATGTGTGTGTATGTGTGTGTGTGTGTGTGTGTGTGGATATATACCTCTTTTTAAAAATATGTTTTTATAGATTTCAGAGAGAGGAAAGTACAGAGAAATAGAGATAAGAACATCAATGATTAGAGAGAATATTTATTGGCTACCTCCTTCACACTCTTTACTGGGGATTGAACCCACAATCAGAAATTGAACCATGACATCCTGGTTCATGGGTCAATGCTCAGTCACAGAGCCACACCAGCCTCTTAACAGTAAATACTGCTGAAGAATGGAACTGGGAAGAAGAAAACATTCTCATTTTATATATCTCTAAATTTTTTTGAACAATTAGAGTGGATAATTTTTGTACTTTCCTCCCAAAAAATAACATACAGATATCAGATAGCTGGCAGTGATGATAGTATAGTTATTTAACCTCTTTGAATCCCCACATAAAAACCAAGAGAGCAGCAAATAGCAAAACCAACATTTGTGGACCACATTTTGCAAAAACCAGGTGATGCGAGGTATCTCGGTGAACCCCATACACAAGGTGAGACCAAATCACCAATAGCCACATCTGTATAATGTCAGCATCTGTGTGGGAGAAAGCAGAGGAAGCTACAGGATATCAGACAGACCTCCAAACTGGAAAACCCCCAAATAGCCAATAGGAAAGTGAGGTGAGTCAATTTAAGTACAAGAGATTAAACTGGAGGAGTTTGGCTTAATCCTATTAGTGGATGAATGCACAGGCCCATGCTAAAATCTGAAGTGGCTAGGGCAAAGTAGCTCCTATAAACTTTTTTTTGTTTTGTTTTTATGGTTTTTTTTTCTTCTAAAAACTCTTGAAACTGACCAACCAGGGGTCCACCCCAGGGCATGACCACACACTGATGAGAAACTTCTGGGTGTAGAATCATAACTATGCAGGATTAGGACAACAGAGACAAGGAAAAAGAAAGTCTGGATTAAGTGGGGGGAAAAAACAATGGTAGGAAGTTGCAGAAAGCAAGCCACCATCTTTTAAAACACCACAATCATGTATCCTAAAACTTTAGGAAATTCAATAGCACATCACAATAAACAATAGGAAAGAATCCAGGTTAAGTCCAATAAATACAACTGATAACACCTTATGAGAAATAGAAGGTGGGTAAAAAAGAAAATGTAAAAACCCCAAAGAAATCAAACAGATTAAACAGAAACTGTCAAATATTGAACTTAAAAGAAGAACACCCAGATTATGGATAATGAGATGTCTATACTCTCATTGTTGGGAGAGATCCCAACTATATTGGGAACATACATTTTAAAATAGTTTTTAACTTTTTAGTTTAATTAAAATCGAAAAAGATTAAAAGGTCATTCAATTCTATTGTAGTTGTTTCACTAATCTCCCTTTCCTAGGGAAGGCATCCTGGCTCGGTACAGGAATACTCTGCTAAAAAGTCATGTGGACCAGCATATTTTGGGTCGTTGAGATCCCCATTATCTTGGTCTGATCCAGATTTTTATGGATCCTAAAGCTTACAGAATTTGGGAAGCCCTCATTTAAAAAAAAATTCATTTCTACTCATGTCTTCTAATACCAACATAGGCTAGCTTCTAGTATTTTTAATGTAGATGATTTGTTTTAAAAGACTATTGTTTTAGCCAAAACCGGTTTGGCTCAGTAAATAGAGCGTTGGCCTGCAGACTCAAGGGTCCCAAGTTTGATTCCCGTCAAGGGCATGTACCTTGGTGGCGGGCACATCCCCAGTAGGGGGTGTGCAGGAGGCAGCTGACCAATGTTTCTCTCTCATCGATGTTTCTAACTATCCCTCTCCCTTCCTGTCTGTAAAAAATCAATAAAATATATTTTAAAAAAAGACTATTGTTTTAAAGCACTTAGATTTACAACAAAATTACAAGAAAGGTACAGAGATTTCCCACACACACTATGTCTCAACACATGCCTAGCCTCTTCCATGATCAACATTCCCCACTGCAGGGGTGCATTTGTTACAACTGATGAACCTACATTGGCACATGGTAATCACCCCAAATCCATAGTTCCCATTAGGGTTCACTCTTGGGGTTGAACATTCTATGTGTTTAGACACATGTATAATGACATTATTCATCATTACAGCACCATCTAGAGTAGTGTCCCTGTCCTAAAAATCCTGTGAGTTCTACCTATTCACCCAGTCCATGGATACCACTGATCTTAGTCTCCATAGTTTTTTTGCCTTTTGAAGAGTGTCCTATAGTTTGAATCATACAGTCTGCACCATTTTCAGATCACATCCCCTTTTCAGTATGGAATATGCATTTAAGTTTCCTTCGTGTTCTTTAATGACTTGATAACTCATTTCTTTTTATAGCTGGACAATATTCCACTGTCTGCAGGCTCTGAGGTTTATCTATTCACCTCCTGAAGGACATCTTGGTCGCTTCCAAATGTTGGCAATGATGCAGAAAGCTGCTATCAACATCCAGGTGCAGGTTTTGTATGAATACAAGTTTTTAATGCCTTTGGTTAAATGTTAAGAAGCAGGATTGCTGGGCTGTGTGGTAAGGGTATGTTTAGTTTTGTGAGGAATTGCCACATTGTCATCCAAAGAGGCTGTACCATTTTGCAACTCCACCAGCACCAGCATTTGGTGTTGTCAGTGTCCCAGATAGCTGGTAGAAATGTAAAAATGCTATAACTACTTTGGAAAAGTTTGGCAGTTTCTTAAAATATTAAGAATAGCTGGGACCGGTTTGGCTCAATGGATAGAGCATCGGCTTGGGGACTGAAGGGACCAGGGTTCGATTCCGGTCAAGGGCATGTACCTTGGTTGCGGGCATATCCCCAGTAGGGGGTGTGCAGGAGGCAACTGATCGATGACTCTCTCTCATCGATGTTTCTAACTCTCTATCTCTCTCCCTTCCTCTCTGTACAAAATCAATAAAATATATTTTAAAAAAAAAAGAATACATCTTCCACATGAACTGCCATCCCATTCCTAAGTATTT